TTAAAACAACTTCTGGAGAAGAACCAAAATGTTAAGAGACATCTTAGGCCAGTAACTTGCTTTTGTGGAGTGTGCTACAAAATTTGCAAACAGAAATGACCTTGACCCATATTCAAGGTCATGGTGTCAAATTTGTTAAAACACTCAAATTATTTCTTACGGAGAACAAAAATATTTACCAGTACAAGGTCACTTCATCCCTAACTTACTGGAATGAAGTGCTACAAAGTTTGCAAAGAGATATAACAATGGCCTTTATTCCAAGGTCACAAAGGTCAAATGTTTTAAAATTAGGCCTATGGTTGTCTTTGGCCAGTAGCTTGCTGCCACAGAATGCTACACTGTATGCAGACAAAATTGATCTTGACCTATGTTCAAGGTAAAAGGGCTAAAATACTCCAAGGTTTTCTTCTTGGAACCAAAACCTACAGTCGTGATATTTGGCCAGAAACTTGTGTTAGCATGGAGTGAAATAAATTTTGCAAACATATGACCTTGGCCTATATTACCAAAAGGTTACAGGTGTCAAATATTTAAAGAACTTCATCTGAATGACTAGAATCAAGGTGGTAAAAGATTTAACATATCACGGACGTCAAAGTACTGCAACCAAAATTTTACCAAAATATTTACACTTTGCCAATTAAATCCAATTTTTTTCGAGTGTTAGTTTTGCTCTTTACATTATATTTCTTCTAATATTTGCAGACATACTAAATTCAATCTCGCTACAAAAGCCAAAAGTAAAACTTTGTAACATTTCACAGTAAACAGCAAGTCATTGAAAGTGAATTGGTAAACCTTTTTACAGACATCATTAGTATAACAAAGACACAACGAAAATGTATGTTTTTTTCTTTAATAGTTCCAGAATGTATCTAGAACATACCAACATGATTTATACATGCAAAGTATTTCAATATTAATGTAATTACTGTACAGCGGAATTTGCTTACATGATGATTTATTTATTCAATAACAAGAATTTGCAATACATCTGGCTAGAATCAATGATTTCTGGGGTCCTTTTACACATCCCGTTCCAATGAAATGGTTATCAAGATTCAAACAAAAGCTTAATAATGTAGTGCACTGTGCACACTTAATGATTATCACCTAGAGGTGCAATGGAATAGTTATCCAGATGGATCGATGAATATGAAAATTTGTGACTGTCTTGTGGGTGTATTTGTAGAGAATGTCCTTAATGACATACTCTATCAAGTCACTTTGGGGTGTAGAGAACATCCTTCACCAGATATTCACTTTAGGATGGTGAGAGAATTCTTCACATAATGCACTCTAGTTCATCACTTTGGGGTTTGTAGAGATTGTTCATCAGATGCATTCCAGCTTGCCACTCTGGGGTGTAGATTGTACTTCATGAGATATGTAATTGTCAGTTTGGAGTATGGAAAGCTTCCTTTTCACCCTAGCACATCACTGTGTGTCAGGCGGTTCCTTTATGACATATCCTTGAGTCCCTCACTTTAGGATGTAGAGAATCTTTTATGAGATACAACTTAGCATGATATTTTCAAGTGTAGAGATTGTCCTTTATGAGATACTCTAGCTTATCGCTTTGGCGAGTAGAGTGTTCTTCATGAGATACACTTTAGCATGTCCCTTTGAGGTGAGGAGCCTCTTTCACAAGATACACTATAGAGAGTGAAAGAGGGTCCTTCATGAGATATATTCTTTAATGTCACTTTTGAGAGTAGAGAGTGTTCTTCACGAGATAGACTGAAGCATTTTACTTAAAAGTGAAGTGAGCATCTTTCATCAGATACACTCTAGCTCCTCACATTTGATTGTAATTTGTCCGTTGTGAGAATGCTGCGGCATGTCACGAAGGGATGAAGATATAGAGAGCAACTCTCACAAGCTACACTCAAGAACACCATTTTGGAGTGTAGGGAGTGTCTGTACAAAAGATGCATTCCAGCACATCACTTTGAGGTGTAGAAAGTCTCCTTCATGAGGTATGGTTTAACATATCACTGGGGTATATAGAGCTTGAATTATGAGAATGCTCCATCGCGACACTCATGGGTGCAGGTGAATTTCCTTCATGAGATACACTCCGGCATGTTGGGCTAGAGAACATCCTAGACAAGGTTACTCTTAACTTGTCAATTTGGGGTATAGAGAGCATTCTTTCTGAGATTCACAATGGCACATCACTTTGGCATGGAGACAGCATATTCATGAGAACACACAAATATGTCACTTTAAGGTGTATGTAGTGAATGTTCTTCATTAGACATCTGTTTTGGAGTAGAAAGCATACTTCTTTTCATATATGTTCCTGCATGTTACTTTGCAGTATTGAGAATATTCTTTACAGGATACTGTATCATTTTAATTTATTCTACACAACACAAAAGACCAGGAAAAATCACTATAAATTTGTCATATTTTGAAGCACTTCTGAATTACAAATCTTGCAGCAATGTTTAATGTAATTCAGTACTTGGTCATCTGTATTATCAGATGTCCCTATATGAGCACATTACAGTTCAGCGAACACAAATTCCGGCCTGGAGACAGTTCCAGTGGTGTTCCTTCTGCAATTATGTGTCCCTGTTATGCTTGAAGGCTGAGGGCGTGATTTAGGGCGTGAACGTTCACCAGAATCTTGCTGATCTGTTTAATCATGTCTCTGTAAAAAAAAAAAAATGCTTTATAGTATAAAACATAATATTTCCTAGAATTTCTTCATTTTCAAAATATTACTGATTTTAAAGGATATGAAATCCATTAAATCCTTCCACATGTTTGATTCTGAGGAGAGTTGAAATAGAAAAGTAATAATTTAAGCAATGCTGAAAAAAGATTGCTAGGTCTGTGTAATGTTAAACAGAAAGGTGATATTGAATTTGTCACATTAATCAAAATAACTCTAAAAATTACCTGATAAATAAAACATGTCCCTGTTAAAAAATAAAAGTTACGTAAACCATTACTTTTAAAATGTAACAGTTTATAACCAGATGTACCTGTGGTCTTTCTTGTCCATATCTTTAGCTGCAGCTAGGTCCTTCTCAATGGTTTTAGCAGCAGATACCATGTATTTACAGAGATTCTCCAGCTGGGGTAGAGTCTTCTCCTCGTCCAGACCAGCAAACCACTCCTTGGGGAATGTAGAGACAACCTGGAGACAGAGGACCAAAACAGCATTGCTTAATGATGCTATAACAGGAAGTGGGACTTGTCTAATCAGCACAACATGCTACCAGGACAACCATCCGTTTCAGATTTTGCAATCAGACACTTTGTGTAATGGAACCAAGTTAAGGTCAACTAAAAGTTTCAGATTTTGCAGGTCTTCATATCAACCTGATTCTTTGTATAATGGAACTAAGTTAAGGTCTGGGGTATCAATGTTTATAATCACCATCTGAACATGGTTGCACTTCAGCCTTAACAGAACGACATGACTGGTTCTTTATTACCCATCCTCTTCTCCTCTCTGCATCCATGGAATAGGTAATTAAAAAATCAAATGCTCAGTGTGCACCACCTTAAGGATGAGACTAGACGACTAGTTTGATCATTTAATGTACAAAAGTGTAACGGTAAATTTAGCCCGAGTTTCTTTTGAAAAAGCTGTCGGAGAGTTTTGAGGTATGAAGTTTCATGAAATTCTGTGACGAAAGGAAGTCGCTAGAGTGATGACTTTTTTTTTTAAGTAATAGTGACCTTGACCTTGAACATAGAAACCTGAAATGCGAACTTGTTCAAGGCATTGCCGTACAAACACTTGTACGAACTTTCATGCAATTCCGTTGAGGAATGAAGTCACTAGAATGATGACAAAGAGTGTAACATACATACATATGTACATCTAAAGGGCGAAATCCTATATCCCCAGAAACTTTCGTTGCGAGGGGATAATTAGAATCATCTTGATAATATGACATGAAAATGTTAATATTTCTGTAAAGTTACAAAGACAGAAAATTATAAGTTCCATAATTTATGAGACTCGCAGATATTTCTGTATTTTTATTAATGAGACTCACCGAGTGACATTTCTGTATGGTTTCCTGGTTCAAAACAGAGTTACAGAGTCCCAGGATGACATAACGGTTTAGGAGGCCGTCTAGAGCTAGGTTCTGTAGAATACTGGTCGATATAATAGCATGCCAGCTCATAATGCTGCCCAGCAACTGAAATAATAAAACAGAAATGTTAGCAATAGTCTCAAAATATCTACACATGATTAACTGTAATTGACAATTTTCACTGCAGGCTATTACACTTTAATATGGCTTAGAATGAATTTAAACAGAATTTAATACACAAAATCTTTTATCATGCACTGTATAACATAAAATAACATACTTTCAAGAACATTTTGACACATCTATACAAATAATGTGTTTGCATTTATGCTGTTTCATATCCTTTTGAAGTACAGAATTTCAACAGGTCC